AATAAACTTTACACAATGAATACTTTGAAGTAACAACAGCTATTTGGCACATAGGGTGCGCAAGGCCAAGGAAAACACATGCTAAAAGTGACTGAGTCATCATCGGTTCTAAGGGACGTAAGACAGATAGTGAGATGGAAGGAAAGAGAAGACGTGACGGTGGAAAGTTTTAATACTCACATCGTAATTTTTTAAAACTTGGTGAAATCTTTCTCTGTGCAGGTGTAATCATCAGTTGTTGTTTAATAAAATTTGCTCTTTCATCTTCAAACTTCTTGCGCTATGATGGAAACCCAAATTCGTAAAACATATATACACTCTACATATATACACTCAACATATCTACACTCTACATATATACACTCTACATATATACACTCTACATATATACACTCTACATATATACACTCTGCATATCTACACTCTACATATATACACTCTACATATCTACACTCTACATATCTACACTCTACATATCTACACTCTACATATATACACTCTACATATATACACTCTGCATATCTACACTCTACATACATACACTCTGCATATCTACACTCTACATATATACACTCTACATATCNACACGAATGGCTAATAGCGCTGTCCAACGGATAAACCTTATCCAGGGCGAAAATCCTTACAAAACCTATGGTATTAATAACTTAATTCCACTTTGAACAACAGGTCTCAGAAGTCAAAAACCTTACTGTTGTTAAAGATAGGTTTAAAATGAGTTTTTTTATTATCTAAATACACCGACTTGTAGAAACGTTGTCAATAGAAAATAAAACATTTGTATTTAGTAAAAAGGAATTAATTAAAAAAGACAAGAGACCGTTCAGCCTCATGCAGTGATCTTCTTTAGTCTTTTTTAATTTATCCCTTTTTGCTAAATATAAATGTCCTATTTTTTATGACGTTTTCGCAAGTAGGTGTATATCACATTCTCTCCTTTATCTCTCCAAGGGCTGCAATCATCGTACTCAATTATAAAAGGGAACAGCGGGTCCTCATCGTGAAAATGACGCTAACAGGAGCCTACATGTATATGGGATGATCGACGTGCTTGTGAACCCTACAAGGAACTAATCAATAACCTATAATTTCATTTGAACTGTGACGTGGATGTCTCATATGAGTTTATGACGACAGAGTAGTGTTTTTGTTGATATACACCGCTGACTATGACCGTCCTAAGGGACCACCAGCATTCAATGCGGTCGTGTTTTATATTTTTCATATATGAAAAATCAGGTGACTTCCAATATCCATTAGCAATCCGTTTCCATACATCAGTTTAAAGGTCGAATCTTACAATATTTCCATTTATATAGTGTAAAGGGATAATAAAGAGGCAAAGAGTAAATTTTTGCTTAAATTACGATTATTTTTATTTTCAATGAGCAAAAGCTCGAAAGAGATGCTGGTGAACCATGTCACTTTAAGCTCAAAAAGACACCACAAAACTTAGCTTGTGGGAATTGACATCATTATCATCTAAACACTTATTTCTAATCCTAAAAGGGATGACGAGGACCGCCGACCACTTTTAAAAGGGGGTCCCATCCTGGTCAAGCCCAATTGTGGGATATCAAACAGGTTTTATTTTCCCATTTAAAGTGCAACTGAACTCTTTTAGAAAATCATATTCAAAAAAAGGCAAATATGATGCTAATCATTGTCTTGAAGAAAAAAAAGTTGTTTGGATTCTATTTTCTGAGTTAAAGACATTTTAAAATTGAAAATGCTAATGAAGTGACGTCAATCAAGGAATTGGGCTGGAGGTTTTTCATTGTTTGCGATATCTTGGTTAATGGTCAATGGTCAAATCATCAATAATAGCGATATTCAAGAACTGGAAATGTCATCTCCGATATAAAAAAAGAGTAATGTATTTTTTCGTGGTTTTGCATATTAAATCATTCCTTAGTAGACGTCACTTAATTTGCATTCCGATTTTCAAATATTTCTAAAACAGAATATATAAATTTGAATGTTTTTTCCCTTTGCAGAAGTGCTTTAGCAGCATGTTCTCTTTCGAATGAAATGACTTTCTAGAAGGATTCAATTGCACTTTAATCCACTTTTATGAACTACAAGGAAACAAAATCCTCAAACAAGACTCACCTCATAACTAAACTTGGCAGCTGCTTCAGTGAATCTCTTTCTTTCTTCATCAAAGTGATTTTTTTGCTCAGTGAACATAATCTTTTCTTGTTTAAGTCTTTCCCAGTCTTCGCACATCCTTGAGTCACTCTAGTAAACAACAGCTAATACTCTAACTATGTAATATCATTTTTATTAAATAAAGCTTATCAAGAAACATTTGATTAAAATTATAGGAGCACC